ATTTTCATTTTGTACTTAACATGACATTAAAAGCCACAAATTTTTATTTTTAAATACATCCTGAAAGCTACAGATTTAAATATAATATAAAATGATGAGAAATTAAAATCTGACATATACAGCTTGCAACATGCTGATACCATCCAATAAATATTTCATTTTTATTGATATTTATTTATTTTTAATTTTAAGTACTTATGCATGCTTATAAAAATTTTATTTAAGGAGCTTTTTTATTTTATTTGTTATTTTGACTTTTCCTGATAAGGAATTAGAGGAACAGAAATATAATTTGTCAAAGAAACATTACAAATTATCCAAATATCAAAACAAAATATAAATTTTCCTAGATGTTTCAATTCTTTTACAAAATTTTTATCTAAGCTCGAAATCGATGAAATTTTTATGGTGATTTAAGTCGACTCCGCCATACAAAATTGATGAAAATCTCGAGTTGACTTCGATCTTCGCTTTTTATTAAGTTGTTCTATCTGTTGTTCACTTTTTAAATCAAAATTTCTGACTGTTTTTCAAAAAGTTTGTAATTAGCTTTGTCGCAACTTTTTGTCGTTTTTTTAAAAAAAAATTAATTAATGTCACAAAGGTTTCAAAATAATCAATAACTGATCCAAAAAATGAGCGATATAAAAGCATTCCCGAGGAATTTTAATTAAAATCCCTTTAAAAATTTTTTAAAATGTACTCAAAGAGAAAATCATTAAATCAGTTTAAATGAAATCAAAAATTAAAATTATTTTTGTGATCAAGAATCAAGCAATAAATATTGAAAGAAGACTAAACATAAGATTTGACACCATGACAGCATCGAATAATAAAATGTCTCGCATTTAACTGCCTTTGACTTTATTTAGTCTGCGTAAACTCTTCATTTTCTACTAGACCTCCTCAAGAGCCTTTTGGGATATGAAAATAATTTTATTCAACTGCTACTGCTTGCTGCTTTTTCGTAACTTTATGTGCAGCCTATTTATCGAATTAACCTGTGAACCAGTGTGAAAATCATAAACATATCTTGCTGTTTCTGCTGGTTCTTTTCATTTACTTTATGACTTGATTTCGGATTATGTAAGGATGCATGTTAAAGAGCCAATCGTAAGTACAACTTTTTGTCTGACAAGGCTAGACCAAATTTCTTCGACAGGTATTCTGGTATTTTAATTATGATTTTAAGCATTTAAAAAAGCGCTTTAGTTTCATAAAAATTTAAGTTCAACATCTTTTAGTTCAAAACCTCTTGCTGTTCATCCTACTGATGTTATTGTTATAATTTGATTTCTTTTTCCTCTTTCTCGCTTTTCCTTGTGTCTTTTTCATTCATTTTTATTACCCAGTTCAGTCGGTCGGGTGAAAATATCATTAAGGTTAGGTTAATGCCTCTATATTTTACGTCGAGCACAGAATCACACCAGAAATTTATCTTCTCATATAAGGTGGTCTTAATTTTTTCCTGTGTTGGTGTTTGCTGCAGTTTCTTATTTTTATGTTACTTTATATTTTTGAGATTAAATGAATTAGAACGAATGTGTTTTAATACATTGATGGTCGTGTCAAAGTTTTTGTAATAGCAGAATTTAGGATGTAAGAGTTGAATTCTTAAGGGTCTTTGAAGTTCAAGAACACTTCAACGAGAATTTATTACAACTTATACAGCCTTTTCAATTTTCTTAAAAGCTTTAAAAAGTGAAAAGTTATGTGAAAAATTTTTTTGATATTTTAAGGCACAAAAATCTTTTTTAATAGTTTTAGGAAAATTTAAAATATTTTTTCATTTTTATTAAATTTTGAAATCAATTAACAATTGAAGCCGAACTTACAATTTGTCATAAAAGTTTTTAATACAGTGAAAAGTGCAAAAACTTAAAAAAGATCATTTTTTTTGCAGTTCAACAATTTTCATTCTTAAATTAAGCCATTCAATTTTCCATAAAATTAAACACTTCATGTAAGTAACGAAAAGTTATTCTTTTTTTCTCATTCATGTGTAAAAATATCATCCAAACAAGGAACTTTGAACTTTTTACAAATTAGTTTTTCTCATGTTCAAAACTAGTTACAGATTATCGTAAAATGAACAAAGTCACACATGCGATTATTAAAAAGTTCTTTTGCACAATGGAATTAAATGTGGAATGAAAGATTTAACTGAGCTGAACCCAGTCGAACAAGTTTGTTAACAACAAAGAGAAAAAATATTTTTAAAGCTTTGTTAAGTAAGCTTTCATGGATGTTGGCAGTGAAGGTTAAAATGTTCATAAACAATGAAGAAGCTTGCGAAGTTGAGAAAAATGTGAGGGATTAGTTGAGCACATATTCCATTGTTAATCATTGTGACGTTAGATGAGATTTTATTAAAAACAATTAAACAAAATTCTTTTTTTAAATGAGACTATTTAGTAGAGTTCCTCGTCATAATCTTTGCCAAACTTTTCAGAATTTAAATTTTTAAATTTAAATCTTGCTTGTCCACGTCGTAAGAATATTCACCTTATTTAAAATTTTTATTAAATTTATTAAAAATCAAAGAAAATCTTAACATTCATAAAACGCAATTTTTTTTCCAAATATTCCTAAATTCACATCTAAACTCCTTTACAAATTTTTTTAATAACGCTTTACAAAGCAATAAAAATATCCAAGAAAACAACACACAAGCTTCTACTATCCATAGAATTTTTTTATCTCGATACATTCTGCTTTATTGGACAGTAAATAGATACAATAAATTGATGTTTTGAGGGTTTGTTGAATAATGCTTTGCAACAATAAATAAAGCAGTTGTGACCGCAACAGAAAAAAGAAAACGAGAAAGGAATTTCAAAGTATCCATTGACATGTCTTAAGGGAGAACAGAAAATATTCATTTCAGTTCATTGACTTTTACAAAAATTGGAAATGACAAAATGATTTAAAATGATTTGTTGGTGGAATAATTTTTCTTCATGGTTCTGCATGTTTTTGAAGCTAATTGAATTTAATTTTTGTGACATTTGAGATTGCTAATTGAATTTTAAGCAGATAATATTTTATATTGAGATTGATTCTCTGATTGGGAATTTGTTGAAGAAGTTAAAAGATTAACAACAGATTTTATGGCTTTTTAATTTATTGGTCATTCATTTTATTGATCCAAAACAAATGTGATAAGAATCTCACCAGCTACATTGTATTAACATATTAACATATTACAAAACTATTTCCATGTAAAAAATTCTTTGAAATTTTAATTTTTCTTAACTTGCAAAATTTACATCAATCTTAATTAAATCAATTAGCCTCGAGTTAAAAGCGTGACATGAATATGTGCAGTAAATTAAAATAAATTAATTATTCTTTGCAAAACACTTTAGAAGGAATTAAAAAAAAATTTCAAATTAACTTAATAAAATAAGTTTGTTCGTTGTAACCAAATAGCACAGTTTTAAAGCATTCTTGGTCGTATTCATTCAAAAATTCAATTCTTGATATCATAAACATATCAAATCCTTCCGAACGACATTTTTCAACCCAACACAATATAAATTAAATTGATATTTAAATGCATGTAAATTCGAACCGCAAAAAAAACTATAACACGACACACATTTGTCCTTGCTGTGTAAATAAACTCATTAAAATTCATCTTTACTTCCTATTACAATTCCAACAACCTCATTTTTTTTTCTAAATCCACAGTAAACACACACCATTAATATCCATTTCCCCATCACCAGCTTGCCAACATTTTTTACTACCACTAACTTTTCCAATCCCTCCCCAAACTTAATTGTTGTTGTTGCTTATTCTTTTTTTGCTGTTGCTGAATGAAAATTGTAGTTTCAACAATTATTGGACATTGTATGGCTGTACTAAATAATTGTATAACACGCAAACTGAAAAATGTTTTTGATGTTGATGTTGATGTGTATTGTAATCCATTTGGATGTCCACAACTTTTCCATAAATCGAATGTGTAACTGAAAAAAAAGTGGAAGAAGTTTTAATGTTTTTTGTTATTGTTCTTGACATATTTCATGCACAGCTTTGAACTACTTTAATGTAAACAAATTCAGAGCTCGTTACAAAAAGTACCATAGTAAATAGCTGAATGTGCTTAATTTTTATAACAAGCTTGTTCCTCCAGATAATGTTCATCTTAAAGTTTCCTTGAATGTCAAAAAATAATGATCATTGATTTTTAATTCCTTTTAAAAAAACTTTTTGGTATGACACACAAAAAGGGATAAAAATGCTGAATATCAGCATTTAAAACAAAAGATTCAGTCTTTAAATGCTATCAGCTTTTAAAATTGCGAGTCTTGCTTATTTATTGTATTTCGTGCTTGCTCTTGACATTTTTCTCCGTTTTTAGAGAAAATAAAAAAGCAGCACATGAATTGAAGTTTCAAACTTTGCTGTTGCTGTGTGATTTTATTCAATACTTTGTTCTTTTCCTGTTTTGATTTCTTGCTCTGTCATTTGTTCAACAAAAAAAAAATATTAAAAGTATTTAAAAATCACACTAAAATCGAAATTGGAGTTAAGCCTAATCGACTCCCCAATCCAAAAATGCTATTGTTTATTCCATCATTTTATTAGTTTTAAATCATAAAGAAAATTTTAAAAAGATTTATGACGAAGAACATGGAAATTTAATAAATTCAATGAGGCTAACAGAAATCACATGTTAATGCGTCGGATTCGGTGACATCGTCCCAAATATATTCTGTGGCCATGGTAAAACCCTAACATGCGGGATTGTGGTAAGTTCAAAATGCATTAAATTTTGCGAATAATGTAAAAACACACGCAAATGTATAAAAAGTTGATGCGTTTCTGTAGACTTCATTGACATGCTAATGCTCACTTTTATCATTCTATTTATTCTGAAAACTGGGAATCATTTCATGTGAAATGTAAAAAATACTTATTCAGGTTCTTTCGAAACTTTAAACTTGTTTAAATAATTTGAGTACAAAAAAAATTCTTTCATTAAATCTTAGGTTTCACGATGACGAACATGCAAATTTATTGAACTCAATGTGGCTGATTGCGATCACATTTTTAAGTGTAGGTTTTGGCGATATTGTGCCTAACACTTATTGTGGTCGAGGCATTGCCGTTAGTACTGGCATAATGGTGAGTTATTGAACTTTAATTTCATTGAAATTTTCGAGGTTAAATGTTAAAAATTGAAGTCAAAAATGTTAAAAAAATTTTTGTTCATTAAAACTTGTGATATCACTTCCTATATCTTCTTAATTCTGAGTGGCAAAACCTTATTACATAACTGTCTAATTTAGCGCATAAAATTTTTATCCACAATCAACGAGCACAACAATGTAAAAGAGACTTCATGTTAATTAAGGAAGCATTTCATTGTCAAGTTCCTTCCACCTCTTCTTTATTGCGTATAGAAAGGAATTTTAATGACTATCGCATGATTTTCCAGGTTTCTATCGTCGAGCCTGTTGTGTTTATACATTTTCTGTGTTTTCTTCGTAATCATAATATAAACACATTAAAGTTAATGGAATGAATTAAGCGATGAGTAACAAACAACAATTTGAATTGTCCTTGATAGTTTTACACCTGGAAAAAATTTACAATTGCTTAGTCCATGTAATAGGGATTTAAAAAGATGTGTACAAAAATTCACCAATAATGCTGACTTTTTGGGGAGTAAAGGGGGTCTAGGATTTAGTAAAAATTCATGAAAATTCAAAAAATCCAGACTTTAGATTTCAATATTTCTTAAACATTTTTCTCAGTGCCTCACGTTCATGAATATATTTCCATATAAATTCTACCTTTAACTTATTCCTTTCCTTTAACGTTTGCTTCTATCGAAATTCAATCTACATTTTTATTAAAGGCATAAGGAAATAAAAACACTGCTTAAAACCATTAAGCGAATCCCCTGTTACAAAACAAGAAAATTTCATTTCACTTTTACTTGCGTATGCTAGTTCCTAAACTGATTTAAATTTTTCTTTCATTCCATTTCTTGAAACTCTTTTTGATGTCTAAAAGTATGAACATTCTTAAATTTATTAAAAACCTGCAAACCTTCTATAAAGAATAATGATGATGATGATGGAAAGTCTACTTATGTCTGCAAGTAAAAAGAAAAAAATTTGAATTGAAAAAACATTCCTGAAATATGAAAAGACGCTGAATGAATTTTAATGAAGTCAAGGAAAAAAGAATGGATGAAAGACTATTGTAGTCGTTCCATTGGAACTATCATAATTTTTACTATAATCGTTGCCATTGTCACGCGTTATTCTACTATGTACTGTACTATTCAGTCTCATCGTCTTTATTATAGTGATTAATTATGAATAATTAACCACATTGAAAGCGTAAATGTATTAATTCTGTTGTTTGAAATGAAAAAGTGGAAAAGTTTTAGTATTTTTTACCATATTTTGTGGAATAGCTAGTTATTAAATGAATGAGGATATACGAAATTTTTAGAATATTACGTCTTTGTGATTTTGTAATTAAAATAATTAATGAAATTGTGGTCGTTAATTTGTTTAACAGAAAAATCTGATTAATTTGATTATTAACGAGTTAACTGAAACTTTGTAGCAAAGCTTGAATTCGGCTTACATTTATATATTTAAAAGTCGGTTCCAAATTGATTTTACTTTGTCGATTTCAGTCTCTGCTTTTTGTGAAAACAAACCAAAAGTTTCTCCTTTTTGAACCGACAAAAAATTTCTTATTGTTTTTCACTTTTCATAAAGTGTTGCTAATGGCTCACAACAACAACATGAACACTAAATGAAAACACAAAGGCTCATTTTCTCTTTTCAAGTAAGCTTTCATGAATTTTCTTGTCGAAAGCAACAGACCATAAAATTGACGAGTTGAATTGAATTTTCTTTCTTAAAAAAGGTTTATTTTTGTGAAATAATTGGAATTAAGTTTAATGTTAAGAAGATAAAAGGGTTAAATTAAATTTAATATATTGGTGGGAAAAAGCGAAATTTAAGAGCGAAGAAAAGTGATTTAATGGAATGTCATTGTGGTTTTGCAAAATTAATTAATATTAAGGTAAAGTGCCATAAAGTGATGATAAACACGTTACATAAAAGTTTGCAAACAATCAATCAAATATTTTCAATTTAAAGATTCCAGGAATATTTTCAAAAATATTCTTTAACATTGTCTGACATTGATCTTGATATCTCTGTATTATATTGAATATCGTTAAAAGTCAAACAAATTTTACATTTTTTTTTGAAAATTTTCCAAGAATCGTAAATCAACAATTTTGATAATAACGACATTGAATAAGTAAAAGGATCACGAAATTCGCAGAACAAAAAATTCTTTTGATGATTCAATAAAATCACATTTCAATGAGCTTTTCCAGGGCAAATTAAAAAAGAACATTTATTAAGACAGAATAATAAAAAGCTTTCAATTGTATTTCAATTTTCTTTGAAATGCCGTAAGAATGTTGAAAATAAAACGAAATCCATTAATGCCAATTTTCGATTATTTTTTCTATTCAATTTGTAGTACCGAATTGAATTTATTCAATTTCACTTTTGTTCTTCTGAAATTGAAATAAAATTTCAACAAATTTCGTTTGATCCCGTTTATTTTAACGACAGTAAGGAATAAAGAGAACAAAGAATTATTTTTTTTTAAAAAAGAAGCAGTTATGCCTTATTAACTTTCGATTTTTCTAATTAATTGAAATAAACTTTTAAGCATAAATCAAGATTTAGAGCGATTAAGATCAAAATTCATTATTAAACTTAAATATCACTCCATCTTACCAGATTTTCCAGGAAATTTCTCTTCATCATTTTTCATTTTTTTTCTTTATTTGTTTCTTTACATGATATAGGGCGCCGGTTGTACGGCATTGCTTGTAGCTGTTGTATCACGAAAATTGGAATTAACGCGTGCTGAAAAACACGTTCACAACTTTATGATGGACACTCAGCTAACAAAACGAGTAAGTTATTGTGATTATAAATTTTATACAAAACGGGATTTATATTATGGATGTTTAATAGCTTTACAATCTTTAATTAAAATCTCATTTTGCTCCAGAAATTATCCCAGTTTTATGAATTTAATATCAACTTCTTATCTACTTTAGTTGAAAAATGCTGCAGCAAATGTACTCCGAGAAACGTGGTTAATTTATAAGCATACAAGACTCGTGAAACGCGTTAATCCAGGCCGAGTGAGAACTCATCAAAGGAAATTTCTACTTGCAATTTATGCGTAAGTTTGATGGACTTTAAAAAAAGACATTTTTTATTGTTATTTAAAAAGACAGAAGAGTGACGCTGATAATAAGCATGTCCACGATAATCGACATTAAAGATAAGCATGTCGTTGTGAATGAGGGAAAAAAATTGGATAGAACAATGGGAAAAAAATGTGATCATAAAAAGGTCATAAAATTTCTGCACGTTTTCTTTGTGCCTCAACATCTTCGTATTTGTGATATTAAGAATGATTTTGGTGCTCGTTTTGGAATAAAAATGAGAAAATGCTCACTTTCTGTCTTGGTTTCGTGCATCAAATTCTCATTAATTTCTCCCTTTTTTTGTCTGTCCTAATTCACACACATTTGTACGAACGCGCACATGAAAATAGATTGCGGAAAGTCAAGATGGATCAACGGAAATTAATGGATAATGCGAACACAATAACTGACATGGCAAAGGTAAGTTAACTCAATGAAATTAGTAATAATATTGAAATCATGATTATGGCTGCGGTGAAAGTCAGTTTGCAGATGACTTAAATCTACGGTGCACTAAGCATAACCAATAAAATTTCAACTTATTCGAACATAAGAATCAGAATGCAACGAAGTCTTTATAAAATGCTCAAATTATTCATTGACTCTACAATCCTTGCAAATATCCACAAAAAAAAGTCATACGAGCGAGCAAATAAATTTGACGCACGACTAAAGCGAAAGGTGTCTCTTAACAATCATTAAGCATATCTAATTAATATGTGTCGTTTCGAGCTTTTGAGGATTTCCACAAGCACATCAATCTTGCCTTTCGAAGGCTTGAAGAAGGGGAGATAGATGTTTGTAGATATAAATATTTTCGTGGGGTAAAATGTCAAGAGAAGAAGCCAAATTTGACACTAGAAGTTGATTTTATGGATTATTTCAATATTTTAGTCTTAAATCGTGCTTGTCGAAATAAATTTTTAAGAATTTGCAAAAGTTTGGAAATGAAAGTCAGCAGAAAAATGAACAATAAAATTTTGCGAACAAAGACGTGAAATTTTTTTTGCTTACGTTTTTGATTAAAAAGAAAAATTCTTTCTACAAATTTTCACAAAGGGGGAATTTTCGGTAAATTCTTTTTTGCATAAGATGTGTGAAAAGGAGCAAGGTTTGAACACTGGATTATTTTAAAAATTGAGTACCTAATTACTCTTTTAAATCAAAGAATTGAATTTGAATTTTGCAAAAAGATTGTGATCCTCAAGCTATACTGGTCATAAATCTTATGATTTGTAAGATTGCACCAACAAGTAATGAGCCTTAGACTTTGAATCTTATCGACGCCTGATTTTCTTTGACATTTTTTATTACACATTCCACCACATGTTTTATGAGGTACATTTTCACACGTTACATCATCGTCGACACCACATCAAGGAGTTGAAAGGAAAAAAAGCGTGTATCCCAGCCATCATCATGTGTTATGTTTGTTTACAATCCTCATACATTCTGATTTCTTTTATTTTCTTCAATCTTTCTCCCTATTTCATATACAGACATCAAATACAGTTTACGAAATTGTTTCGGATATGTCATCACGTCAGGATGCTTTAGAGGAAAGATTATCCGGTCTTGAAGATAAATTGCAATCATTACAAGTAAGTATATGAAATGTGAAATTTCTAGGAAAATATAGATGAAGGTTTTATAGCTTTGTAGTCTTTTTCGGGAAGAGGATTAAGTGAGAAATAAGCGATGAAGAGGAAAAATATAATTTTGGGAAAAAGCATAAAATTTCGGAGTTTCTTTCAAAAGGTTTGGAGTTTTTCGGAACCTATGTTCGACTTAAACATGTTAAAAAATGTTACTCAATATTATCAACCTATTTAATGTTAAAAAACTAAAATCTTTTGTTTCATAGCGTTCCTGCTGCGCTGCTCAAAACTACCCTTTTTCTACTTCAACATCATTCCTTCATCATTTCAAAAAACCTATTAAATTTATCAGTATTTTATTTCAGTTCGATTTCTTACATTCTGAATCACAGAAAAATATCCTTCATCTTTTATTTTCATTTTATTTCTCTATTTTTTCACAATGAAAATGTTCACGTTCAGATCTATGTCACAGTGTATGAAATCTACAAAATTCATGGAGCAATAAATTGAGCTATCGAGTATTAAATTGTAATTTTTTCGTCATGATTTTCCACCTGACTTCCTGCAATTCTCAGGTATTTGATTTCAGAGACTTGTAAAATTGTTTTTGTAAGTTGGAAAATTGAATTCGATGATTTAGAAATAAAATTCGTCATTTCTTTAAGAAGACAGAGACTTACTCAGTGTATATAAGTCGCGTTCGCTGTGAGAATCATGTCGACTGCTTTTCATATAATGGTTGAGAGATCAGTCTCTAGTGGGAATCGAACTCACGTCCTTCCAAAAGAGAGTTACAGATATTGGGTCTGTTGCCTAACCATTCATGCCACAGAGATCTTACTCTCGCACTGGCAGATTCACAAACATATGACTCAATACCAGATTCCGTTAAGCTCCGACAGCACACTCAGTAACATAAAACAAAATATAATTGTTATAAAGATTAAAAAATTAAAAAAATAATTTGAGAAACATTTTAAATTTTTTCAAAAAATAAATTTTGATCCTCAATATTTAAATTTATTTCGTCAGCATATATAAATTTTAGACACACTTATGCAAACTAAACAATTGATATGTATATATCATAAATATAAATTGCCAAACAATTCAATTTAAAATTAATTGGTCATACAATAAATTATTTTCATACTACGTTGAGTCCAATAAAATGATGACAAGAGTCCCAAAAGGTTCATGAAATGTTAAAAACTGAAAAATCTCGAAAAGAGAAAAGATCTTTCCATTTTAATGCGGTGAATGACATAATCAGCAAAAATGCATAATAAAATTGTTTTGTGCAATGAATACATGAGTGAAAGCCATACTTGTGTGTATTTTATGGCTGCATGAACTTGAAAGAGACGAAAAAAAATAATTTAAATATTTAGTCAACAAAAAATGTTGTTTATGGAGAAATAGAATATTAAATTGAGTTTTCCCTCGTTTATTTTTGGCATGCTGCAGCTTTATGTACATCTGCATGAATCGTATGCAGAGAAAATATGAAATGTTTTTGGATATTTTTGGATATTTGGCATAAAATTTATCGTGGTTTTACTAGACATGGGTAGAACGGAGGGGGAGGGGGAGGAGGCAACATTTTATATGAACTTAAAGGGTCTCAAAAAAGAGCTATTTAAATCCAGGAGGTTATGATAAGTTGTAAACAATAAAGCATTAAGTTAATTCAAACTCAACATCAGTCTCCTTATTGTATTCACAAAAGACATTCAAATTTTTGCATTCAGGACATCACAAAAAAATCACATATCAGAAAAGTATCAGAATTAATCGTGCTCAGACAAATGAAAATTTCCTCTTCATCTGCTGCTATCCCGATGTTCCATAGGCACATATGTACATAAAAGTAAATTGCCTGTGGACATTTTTCATATTTCTCTCTTTTTGCTTCTGTATTTGAATCAACAAGTTGCATTTTGCTTTTCATCATATCCATACATTTATATACATAATATATATGCAATGAAGTCGACGGCAATAAATGAATGGGATTTATACATGGGAAAATATTTGAGGTATGAAAGAGTAAAGAGGGAATGAAAAAAATTGCATACATTAAAGTCGATTGTCGATGATTTGAATAACGAATTTGTTGAGAATGCATTTCCGTATGTTTTATGCTTTATCGCCTATGCTTCCTTGCTCACTTGAGGGATTTACAACTATGCGACAACATATTTTTTTTTCATTCAATTGATTTTCTAGTTTATTGATATTTAATGCTTTCATGTTTCATTCCAGGATCAACTAGAAACACTGCCTGAAATTCTCACACGATGCCTTGCTCAGCATCAAGAGCGAGTAGAACAACGACGCAATTTTCTTCATCCCGATATGGCCAATGCAAATTCAACACCTGGTGTGATTCAGAATCCAGGAACGCCTTTGCCGCAACCACCACAGACATTAGGTTCGCCTTTAATACTTCCACATTCTAGGTGAGTGTAGTTGATATCACCTGCCGCGCGTACACACACTATGCACTATCTACTATTGCCCTGTATTCTTATCTCTTTATGGGAGACACACTAACATTAGCTGTTTGATGAACCGTGTGTTACAGAAAGCTTGATATTTTTATTAAGGAGTTTGATCTAGTTGGTAAATTAGTGACTTTTTTATGTTGATTTTTTTTATTCCGTTGTTTTTATTTTTTTTTTTAAAAACCCAATTTATTATTTTGTAAGATTTTTACCGTTCATAATTTTAAATTTCTCAAATTTTTTTTTTATTATTTTTCCTAATGTCACGTCAATTTATCCACTAGAAAACCTCTTAATTTGTGACTAACATAAAACTACCATAAGAAAGCAATTGTTTCGGATACACATTCCAACACCTACACTTACACTTGCTAAATATGAATTGAGTTAAAATTTTATTTCTGTGATTTTTTGCTGCTCTTGTTTTCATATTTAAAAATTATTAATGAGACCTGTGAATATGAAAATGTTACATTTTGTAGCATTCGACATTTATTAATGTTTTACACGAGTTTCTGAAAGAGAAAAATTGATGTGTTGATGGTTTTTACCATAAGATTCAAGTAAAATTAATGTTACTTTAATTTTTTATGACTAGCAAGAATTAATAAGTTTTGGTAAAAGTAAGAAGTATTTTACAAGATTTTAAGATTTAAATTTCAAAAAATATTTTATGTTCTCGTAAATAATTTTTGTTTGTCAATTTTGAAAGAATTATTGATTGCCATAAGTAACAAGACCTTTTTGAATAAATTGGTCCATACAATTCTATATTTTCACATAAAAACCGCAAATCTAATCATAATAAAAATAAAATTCAAAATTTTCTGAAGAACAAGAAGCAAAAGATCTCAAAAATATCAAAATACAAGCTTAACCAACAACTAAACAGATCAAAAATAAACATTTGTTCATCCTCATATGACCAAAAAAAAATTGATTTTGCTTATCGCTAATTTGATTGCTTATTTTTATATCCGAGTTTATTATTTTGATTATTTAGCAACAAAAATCCTCCCATAGAATATGAGTCCAACAACCAAGAATCAACGCATCATCATCATCGTGATATGGATTAAATAATAAGAGAAATAAAAATATTTCTACCCGATACAAAAATATTGTGACAAAAAACTTAACATTTTGTTATTCAAGAATAAGAAAAAAAATGGAATTTTCTTTTATCGCGTTGAGAATTCAATATTTAAATAATGCAAGCATATAATGTACATAACTTGATGATTCTGTTTTGACTGCTTGATGTGAAATTGCATGCAAAGCAAACAAATTTTTAATTTAAAAAAATGGAGTTGATGTCATTCGATGATGATGCTCAGCTTATGGAACCAACTCATCCAAGTTACTACCTAACATTCTTCCACTACTTGTAGTAACCATGAATGTTTTTTTAATATGCTTTTGTAAATAATAATTTTTGAATCGCTAGCCTCTAGTTTTTTTTTTGAAAAACTGTAGTTTTTGTTTTTGTTGGCTACAGAAATAGATAAAGTGATATAGAAAGATTGATGACGCGTGGCAAACAAAATAAGGCAGAAATATTTTTAGTTTATGCTATACTATTAATTTAAGTTATGAATTAAGTTAAGTTTAATTTTTTGACACTTAATGGAATGAGAAATTTAATAAATCTTCTTTTATTAATTTTTAAATAAATATAATTGTGAGAATAATTTTTAAATAGTCCCAAGCTATTTTATAGATCTGATTAATAATGTCAAATTTATTATTATTAACTTGGGACCAGTGCTCGGAGACTTTAGTCTTGCGAGTTGACTCGGAAAAAAAATTCGACTCGAGTTGACTTCGAGCTCTGCTTGGGACTGAAATTCCTATCTAAAAGCCACAAGAACATTCACTTGTAATTATCAAAGTTTACTTTAGTCACTATAAAATCTATAGAACTTAGATACAGCAATATATTGCAAGGGTGAGTGTCATAGGACCGACCGAAATTTGGTTAAGTTTCAGTAGAACTGAACTTCGATCAGAATTCGTTTTATAAAAAATTAACCTAATTTTGACAGAATTTTCAACCGAATTTTTTTCGGTCTTATGAATCTTTATCTATTGCATTAGAAAACTCACTCCAAAGTGTGCAAAATTAAGTTAAGGATGTGTTTAGTTTGTGGAAAAACTAGTTAAAACTTTATTAAAATTAACGTAAGAAATATTATTTTCTTCTTTCTTTTTCCCAACCTTTCGTTTTTTATTTTAATTTAAAACAAATTTTAAAAACTTAAAAAACAATAAATAAATCCACAAATGACATTTAACACACAAAATAAAATCCAAAAAAAAAATCTATCACATGAAATGGACCATAAAAATAAATAGTATCCCTTATAGAAGCGCACCAACAGCTGACACAACAGGATCATCAGCCAATTATCAATGGCCACCAAGTCCCGTACTGCCATCAATATCTAGTCGAACACCTCATCTGATACCCGAAACAATAATGCCAACAACAGAAAATGATGAGCAGCACAATAATGATTCAACATTCACATCAACAAATCATCATAATAATAATAGAAGTGACTATAATTCCAATGACGATAATAACTCATATCGTGGATCAATTGTTACACAAAATAATAATCTTCGTTCGGCAAGCTGAACAACTGCTAGACATAACGATAAATCTAAGAATAATTATGTTTTAGAAACGGACCTTTAGTGGTGTGATAATAATTAATAATTAACATAAGTTGATGCCTAAATTTAAGAACTAAAAACAGACACAAGTTGTAATTAAAATGCAAAATTGAAGATAAGTAAGATAATGACAACGACGATGACGAATAATTTGTAAGAAAAATACACGACAAAAAAAAGTTATTCAGCCAAATAGCGAAAAGTGAATGAATGAAAATGAGCAGAACCTGCAGGCTTCTCTCGTTCTTAATTTTTTTTTATTTGTTTGTAGTCAGTTTATTTATTCTTTTTGTCTTTCGACTTCCTAGTGCGCCTGCAACAAGTGTTTTTTCTTCTGTTCTATTTGTCTGTCTTTTATTTTTCGTCGAGCTTAAATAAAGATAGAAATGTGAAAATGAGGAAAAAAGGCAAAGCTGCTTATTGCTGACTGCCTGATGAGTCCTTTGGTTGAATTTTATCAGAATTTCTTGAATTATTCTTCTTGTTTTCATTTGATTTTTAGGTTAAAGTTGGGTAAGTCGAAAATGGATAAATTTGTTGAATCTTAAGAAATAATTCCTTAAAAGAGCTTCAAGACTCCAAAAAAATTCACAATAATCTAAGTTTTTTGGGAACAAAATCCACCAAAGGATAACCTTAAAACTGCGGTTGTTTGGAGATTAGATGAATATAAAATGAAATATCTGGCTTTATTTTATATTTCAATGAATCAAGAGGCAATGAAAATTTGCTTAAAGCCACTTTTTAACATGAATTCTTGTTGAACTGCGTGAATCTTTTGTAAATTCACAACATGATAACAAGATTTTGACTTTAATAGACAACTTTTAAAGAAAAGTAAATTTATTATTTTATTAAAATAATTTTTAAATGGAAGTCTGTTTAATATACTTTGTTGAAAAGATTTTCATTGGAATCTATGCCTATTTTAAAATTTAGATTCAGCAATCTTCTTAAGACTTATCAAAATTGAAGAGAAATTCAAAATATCCAATTTCGATCAGTTCACTCAACTTTATGCACAACTATAACAAATACAGTGAAAATTCACCAAAAAATGACTCTTCACGATAAGACATCGGTGATTTATTGATCTTCCTTAATTTATTGACTCCAATAAAATCATTGAAAGAGGTTATAAATAATGTTTCATCATAGGAGTTATGAAATATACTCTCATGAACTCAGTATTTGGGTGTTTTTATTAATACGACTGTCATAAATCACATCACTTTGTTGTATATAAAAGAGTGAATAACATCGTTATAATGGAATTAACAGTTTATGCTCATCGAAATGTTTACTTTTCGATGCATTATATTAGCTGTTTGCTTTCAATAGATAAGATTAGGATAATAAAGATAAATGAATGCTAAAGCTCATTGAATTATTTTGAAAATTTTTGATAGTCGATAAGAAACTTGATATTGAATTTTTCATAAAAATTCAATTTTGTCTGCAACTTCTTAATTTAAAAATCTTCAATCAATTCTGACAAAATTCAACCAAAATTGAGAATGAGAAAAATATTTTCCATTATATAATAAATATCAATAAAAAGTTAGAAGTTAAACATTTTAATGAAATTTACTTTTGTTGTTAAGAAATAATTGTTAAAATAGTTCTAATGAATATATATCCTTAATTTTAATAAGTTAGCTAGCTAGTTAAATTAAATACTTAAAAAAATTAAGTTAAATGAACAACAACAAAAAAATGTTAAATTGAACAAAAAACAATGAAAATGTAGGTAATTTAGCTTTAAGTAGGATAAATAAATGAATCAATAATAAAAACATGAAAATTGATTGATTTATTAGTCGATAGTGAAACAATTTGTATAAATACATTTAAAATTGAATAACTAAGCACAAAATTGTATCCTACAGATATTTGAAAACATTGATTTTTAAATTGTTAGTAAAAATGTTAACGATAAGATTAAGTCATTTATGTAAAAAATGTAAATTTGAAACATTATTTTAAAATAAATTTCGTTATTTTTTTTTGAAAAAACAAAAATTTATGAAATATGAAAAAATATTCTGTGATTTTTCAACAAAAAGAAAAAAAACAACTTCATGATTTGAAAAATCTTTTCTGATTGATGACTCGTAGATTTATTATTGATATTCGAAATTTTACTTTTATGTAGAGTTGAAACTGATTTTGATCAAATAGTTTTATATTAATGTTCAGTAATAACTGTTCTCCAGGGATGATTAGATTCCAAAGATTTAAAACAAAAAAAAAACTTCAGAAAATCATTTAAACAAAAACAAAAAAAATTGGCTAAAGTTATCATTTTCTAAACAATTAACTTAACAAACTGTGTGATGCGACATCAAAATATTAAATGAACGAGAAATAAAATGAATCACAACAGAAACAAATAAAATAATAAATTATTTAATTTTAAAAAGACATAAAAACTAAACTTATTTTGCATAACATTCTAATTTGACATGAAATGCATGAAAAATAGACGACAAAAGCTGAAAAGAAAAATATTTGTAGTGTGTTATAATTAGCAGCATATAAACATGTATGCAACAATGTTTCTTAATTAATTTTCTTCTCATTTCTCTCTTGTTTTATTTCAATGCAAAGTATTCATTTCAAAATTATATTTAATTCAATTCTTTATTGCTTTACAGAAGAAAGTAAAAAAATATTTTAAAAAAATTAATTTTTTTTCTTGTATTTTTCTGTAGAAAAATAAAATTTCACATATAAAAAAATTTGAGGTAAATCCAGCATAGAAATAAGGATTTAATGACATTATCTCTACAAAAAGTTGGAATTAGAACATTTACATGAAAAACAAATTCTAAAAAAGTTGTAATTAAATCTCGTCTTAAAACACCCCGTGACTGTATCTTTTTCTTTTTATCATCATCATGCACGATGAATATTTTCGACTGAAAATTTTTCATCAAATTTCTTGGATTTTTTTTTCTTTTAGACGTGAGTTCATAATTTTTTCCACCCTCAAGATTTAGTGACAAAAATACCTTTGAACATTTATTACATCTTGTTTTACATGCTGGTATCTTTTTGAAGCTTAAAATCCTTTAAAATGTTTTAACAGTTTTTTAGTATACATTTGTATATGTTTCGAGATTAATTGACTACTTAAGAATACGAAAATCGTCGTGTTTCGATCTATTGTAAATTTTTCAAAACAAAATTTTAATTTTTTTTGAGTTTCCATAAAAAATTAATTTTTTCTTTTTAAAAATTCAATGATGATGATTTAAGATGATTCTTAAAATCTTGAATATTTGATGATCTACCAATTTTTAAGCAACTTCGAAGTTGATTATTTTTTTGTCTGCTTTTAGTAAGCTCCAAATTTCTTAAAAAGATTTCTTTAAACTCATCTTAATGTGCATCCTAAATTGGTATTGCAAATGTATTCAAAGAATCGACTTAAAAGGAAGCTTAAAAGTGGGTTGATCATTTATTTTTTTAAAATTGACAATTGATAAATGTCAAATGTAGGCGGCATTTTAAAAATCAATTTAATTTATTTTTTCAAACAAATTTACAATCAAAAAATCTGTTTTGACATTTCCTAAAGTTCTTCTATTTTTTAAACAACCTTTAAAAACTCACAACTGGAAGTTTTCCTTAAAAAAATTACAAAAACTGATAAATTCTAAAAAACAACAAACGTAAAAACTGATCAATAAACATTATTAGAAAAGTTTAGAGTAGCATAAAAACTTTTTTATGTATCGGTAATGTCTTCTTCAACTCCATCAATG